TTCTCAGACTTAATAACTGTCTATTGTATTTATAATCTCTACACCAAGCGATGTTCTTTTCATCACTCTGGTGAACACAGAATCATGATGTTGCGCTGCAAATCCCACCCCACTGCACTACAAGCTCATGACACACATATAAAAGGGATGGGGTTTGCACCACAATTACACAATACTGCTTTCATTAATCTGCCACACCCACAGATGTTGCTGTCTGTATGTTACCGAACTGTGCGCAGCAGCTGTCAAAAAAAGCCAATGCAGTCCTAGGCTGTATTAACGAGAGGGATAGAATCAAGATCACATGAAGTGTTAGCACCAATGTATTATGCCTTGGTAAGACCACACTTAGAATATTGCATCCAGATGTTGAGATTCTAGAAAGAGTGCAGAGGACTGCAACAAAGATGATTAACAGAACAACAGAGTTGGAAGGACCTTGGAGATTTTCTAGTGACTAGTCCAACCCCCAGGCAGGAAACCCTATACCATTTCAGACAAATGGTTGTCCAATCTCTTCTTTAAAAATTCCAGTGTTGGAGCATCCACTACTTCTGGAGGCAAGTTGTTCCACTGATTGTTTTAACTGTCAGGAAGTTAGGGGACTGGATTAGGGAACTGGAGGCTAAAACATATAACAAACAGTTGCAGGAATTGGGTATGTCTAGTTGAGGGTTTTCCAACCGGGGGTGCGAGACAATATTCCAGGGGGGTCCAAAAACTTGGGTTTAGAAGTTTCAAAATTATAGTGCAAATGCATAATCATATGCATATAATTATTTACTTTTGTAAGGGGTGCAAGAATATATCGGAAGCATTCTTGGGGGGCAAAGTATAGAAAAGGTTGGGAACCCCTGGTTAACGAAAAGAAGGACAAGGGATGACATGATAGCAATGTTCCAATGTCTAAGGGACTGCCACAAAGAAGAGGGGGTCAGCCTATTCTCCAAAGAATCTGAAGGCAGAACAAAAAGCAATAAATGGAAACCAATCAAGGAAAGAAGCAACCTGGAACGAAGGAGAAATTTCCTGACAGAACAATTAATCAGTGGAACAATTTGCTTTCAGAAGTTGTGGGTGGTCCAACACTGGGGGATTTTGAGATTGAACAACCATTTATCTGAAATAGTAGTGTCTCCTGCTTGAACAGTGGGGGTGAACTAAAAGACCTCCAAGGTTCCTTTCAACTCTGTTATTCTCTTAGTCCATATTCAAATTCACTCTGTCATGTCTATGCAACAAAATGAGACTGTGGGTCCTCAACTCAAATGAGGACCCGCAGTCTCATTTGAGGGATAGAATTTAACCACATCAGCATAAGGATGCCATGGCATTCAAATCTCCAGACTTTTCAGAGTCAAAGGTTTCATAGAGATATTGGACATAAGAACAGAATCTAAAAGCCCCCACAACACAAGCATCATAGATTCAAACAGATCTCCTACTGCCCCCCTCTGATGCAATTCTACAGGTAGAAATGAAATATGTGACATTACACACATACTCCAGGTAAATAGCCATGGACTACATAATGCAATGTTTGCACAAATATTACACCATACATTCATGATACAAGCAGGGGGTCACAAAATATTGACCAATGGACATAATAAAGTGAGGTAGGTAATTGTTGGATAAATTATAAGCTGGCCAGGCAGGCAGTTTTGTATTATTGTATATGAAAAAAGTCAACAAAAGAGGGGTCCTTGGTTGTTTTCTTGGAGATGTTTCATTACCAAAATTAGCTAGCATTATCAATGAAAGTAAGGGGTAGGGTTTGCTGCCAGTTTATATTATAGTGCCTTGTTCTGCCAGTGTTGGTGGTCTTGAAGGTTCTTTGATTGGGCTGTTTATTGTTAGCTTGTTTGACAGTTCCTTGATTGGGGTATTGCTTACTTCCTGACTGTTGGTCAGATGTTCATTTTGGAGTTAATCTAAACTTTTCTGGACATTGATTGCTGGTGGGGAAGTGTTTGGGTCTTTTTGTTCTCTTTTGTTGATTGTCTCCTTTGCATAATATGTAGACGTTGTTTATGTCTATGTGTCTATTGATGGCTAATTTGTCAGAGTACTAGGCTTCTAGAAATTCTCTAGTGGATTTTAGACTTGGCTTGGTCTAGGATGGTCACAGTTTCCCAGTTGAAACTATGGCTGGGTCTGCCCATGTGTCATGAAATTAATGACTTTTATCGTATCTTCTGACTGCTAGTTGGTGTTCATGGATGCATTCTGCCAATCTTCTGCCTCTTTGTCTTATGTAACAGCTATGTAGTAGCTGTTACAGTCATTACACCATATGTTGCAGATGCCTCCTTTTTTTCTTCTTACTGCACCAATGATGTTAGCTAGTTTGGCTAATGAAACATCCGCAAGAAAACAACCAAGTCAGAGAGCATAAGGACCCCTCATTTCAATCCTGAACTACAGATATTTTTCTTTCTCTACATATGGGTGTCCAATGCTTCAGAAAGCACGTAAAAAGGAAAAAATTGCCTGCAGGTATACTTCCACCAAGGAACAACTTTTCTTCCTACATGAATGCCTCACAGCATGTCCAACCTATTGGTATGAGATACAAAACTCCAATTTAATACACAGCTGGATGGAAAATAGCCCAAGAAAGTGGGCGAAAATGATACGGCTCATGATCACAGATGCATGCTTCAGATTTTTTTAAAAAAAGCTGGAACTAACCATCACACCAGAGTACATGGAGAGGCTGGTCACCCCTATCATGATTACTTCTCATAGACATGCTGGAAAAAGAAAAACCAAATTCCAAACCAAACTCCTCAACCCCAGAATCAAAGAGGTATCAGAGCTTGAACGTGTGGTCAACATGTCCTACCGTCCACTATCTATTGCAAAATATAATATTCCACGAAAAGGTCTCAACTATAACACAGATAATGCCAATTACCTGAAATTCTGTGAAGCCTTACAACTACTGGACTTCCCACAGGGGGTCCAAGAAAACATCAGACAAACCATCATACCACAGACCAGAAGAAGATGACAACCAAATCAAAATCAACAGAGGATAGAGCAGTCCTCAGAAACCAGACTATCATCCTCCTACCAGCAGACAAAGGCAGAACCATGGTTATTATAGACAGATCATAATATATACAAAAAGTGAAACAATTACTAGAAGATAAAGAAACTTACATCCCAGTGAACACTAACACAATACAGAAACTAGACAACTGGATCAAGAAAACTCTGAGTAACCACATCAAGAAAGGCCAAATTACCAAAGAACAGTGGTGGATAAGAAGCAGTGAAGTCATCCTCCTACGCTTCTCAGGATGCCCCAAAATACACAAGCCTGACATACCTCTCTGTCCAATTATATCATTACCAGGGATCTTACTTACAAACATCACAAAATAATTAACAAAAAAGCTAGGCACTTCACAAAGGAAAGGAAACAATCAACTCCCTACTACAGCACCTTCAAACAATCAGAGATGTGTCTATAGATGAGGATAAAATCCTGGTCTCATTTGATGTCACAGCCCTTTTCACGTCCATAGACTTAACCAAATACACAAAAACTGAAACCCTCACGATTCTTATAAATCTCTGCCTAACTTCATACTTCATACTACTTCATACTTCATACTACATACTTTCAATTTGATGAACAAACTTATCAATAAATTAAAGGTACATCTTTGGGATCACTACTTCAGGACTTACTTCAGGACATCTGGAAATGATAGCACTCCCACAAATAGGACCCCAAATATGAATCAGATATGTAGACAACAGCTACATAATTAAAAAAGGAGCAATTAGAGAACACCCACAAAACTAATCAACATCTTCAAAGGAATCTACTTTATCAGAGAAGAAAACAACTCACTATCCTTCCTGGATATCCTGATCAGTAGAGACCACAATGGCAAACTAGAAGCACTGGTGTACTGAAAAACCACCCACACCAATAAAATATTCTCCTTTATTGGTAACAAACCTAGCAATGGTTGCTTAACAAGAGAGCCTTTTCAACTTTTCTGAATCCAAATTCAGAAAATACCCAATAACCAGGGTAAGTTTATATAAACATCTCAAAATACTGAACTGTTGCATCCTTTCCTCCCCCCTTGCATATGGAACCTTGCAAACTTTCCTTCACTCCTAACAAACCCACTAATCAAATCTATTTACAGATCTCTCTAGCTTGCTAAATTCTTTCAGTCCCTACATACTTCTTCACATCCACTGAAGTTACATAAAAATAAAACAAACCTATTTAGGTCGCCCATAAATGCAACCAGTTTTCCAAGACCAAGTCGGCATTACAGGTAGTCCTCGACTTAAGACCAATTGAGGCCAACATTTCTGTTGTTTGTTAAATGAGTTTTGCCCCATTTTACGACCTTTCGTGCCACAGTTGTTAAGTGAATCACTGCAGTTGTTAAGTTAATCCCAATGGTTTCCCCCATTGACTTTGCTTGTCAGAAGGTTGCAAAAGGGGATTACATGACCCTGGGACACAGCAACGGTCATAAGAATGAACCAGTTGCCAAGCATCTAAATTTTGATCACGTGATCTCGGGGATGCTGCAAAGGTCATAAGTGTGAAAAACGTTTTCAGTGCTGTTTCAGTGCTGTTGTAACTTTGTATGGTCCCTAAATGAACTGCTGTAAGTCGAGGACTATCTGTCCTTGGTATACAGCCAGTTTGATGCAGTAGTTTAGGTGCTGTCACATAAAGCAGGAAATGTTCTAGTCCCATCTTAGGTATGAAAAACCAGCTGGGTGACTTTGGCCCAGTCACTGTCTCTCAATCCAACCCTCACCGTGGGGGTTGTGGGGAAAATAGGAAGAGGAATGAGTATTAGCCACATTTGCCATCTTGACAATGTACAATATAACAGAAGGCAAGATAAACATCTAATAAATAAACAAACCCAAATCTTCTGTCCTAGAAAGATTTTGATCTCAGGTCTGGCTGGCCCGTTGCCCATGAAAAGAACAAGCAAACAAATTACCAAACCCAAGTCTTCTGTTGCAGGAAGATTTTCATCTCAAGTCTCGCTGGCTCAACGCCTACGGGGGAGGGGGGGGGGGGAAACAACCTAACCCTGCAGCACCATTTTGAAGAAGCTTCTGAGAACCAGGGGAAGCAATTCCTCCTCCCTTCTTGAGGCAGGGCTCCTGCGAAGGACCGCTTCAATTCCAGGCCTGGGGCTGCAAACAAGAAAGAGAGAGAGAGAGAGAGAGAGGATGCAGGAAAAGGTAAAGACCAGGAAAGACCCGAATAGGAAACAGGCGACATTGGCCACTCTCAAACCTCCTGCACCCCGTCCCTTGGGAGGTCGGGAGGGGAGGACCTGCACCAAAACGGACGAAAGGGGGATGTGCCTCGCCCCCCCGCCTCCCTTCGAGGGGTATCACGAGTGGAGCAGCCAGGTTCGCCTCTCCCTCCCTCCCTCCCTCCCTCCCTGGCAAAGGGAGCGCCATGCCGCTGAATCCCCTCCCCCCAGGGTGGGCTTTCCAACTCTATGATCGCCGGACGAGCCCTCCACCACTTCCTTGGGGCCTGGGCAGGTTTCTACTCCCTTCCTCACCTGCGGCCGAGCTCAGGGCGGAAGCCGCCGCATCCCTTGATCCTTGCCGCTCTGTTCGCCCGAATAGCGGAAGCGCCGGGCGCCGCAAGGCCTGCCAGCAGTCCTGCCAACAGGGAAGCGACGACGACGGCGGCGCCGCGGGGACAAACTTCGTCCGCCCACCTCCGCGCCTTGGCAACCCTGCTCGCCCCGCCCTCTCCCCTCCTTCTCGGGAATGGGGATCGGAGTCTTGACGTCATCAGCCTTTGCGAAGTTGCGCGCGGCCTTCTCAAAGTTCTCCGACCCACAACCTTGGCAATTGTAAAGCCTGGCGGACTTCAACTCCCAAAAGTCCGCCAGGCTTTCAAGTTGCCGAAGTTGGAGACCCCTGTTTATGCCGCCCAGAGTCTGGGCAAAAAAATAAAATAAAGGTGCTGACTGGCGAGTCACAACCTAGTACAGGTAGTCCTCGACTTACAACAGTCCACTTAGTAACTGAAGTTACAGGGCCACTTATTTATTTATTTATTTAATTTATTTATATTGCCGCCTATTCACCCATGGCAACTCGAGGCTGCTTACACAATGTAAAACTATATTTAAAACAAAAAATAAAAATAAACAATAAAAATTAACAAAAAGAATCAAATAAATTGGTAAAGTACAACAGAACAAAATTTGGGAAAATAAAAAACAAAACAAATAAACTCCCACCCCCCACCCCTGCCCCGACGACAGTAGACAGTAGATCACAACGACAGTAGATCACACTAGCCACTTATGACCATGGCAACATCCTCATGGTTACACGATTTACATTTGGATGTTTTACAACTGGTTCATATTTATGCCGGTTGCGTGTGATCCCCTTTTGCGACCTTCTGACAAGCAAAGACTATGGGGAAACCAGATTCACTTAGTGTGACTAACTTTACAACTGCAGTGATTCACTTAACAACGGTGGCACAAAAGATGGTAAAATGGGGCCAAACTCACTTAACAAACGTCTCACTTAACAAGAAATTTTGAGCTCAGTTGTGATCTTAAGTTGAGGACTACCAGTAAACATGTCGGGGACCGGGTTCAGTTTGTCTCAGTCCTTGGAAATGTTTGGATGTGATTTATAGCAATAGCACTTAGACTTAGAACTTAGAATAATTTTATTGTCGCTTTGAATGTACACTAATTGGCATATATTAAAATGAAATTTCATTGCATACAGCTCTCAAAGGGTTTCCACCTCTAATATACACTTAAACTTATATATACCACTTCACAGTGTTTTATAGCCCTCTCTAAGCAGTTTACAGAGTCAACCTATTGCCCCCAACAATCTAACCTTGGAAGGATGGAAAGCTGAGTCAACCTTGAGCCTGGTGAGATTCGAACTGCAGGCAGTCAGCAGTCAGCAGAAGTAGCCTGCAGTTCTGCATTCTAACCACTTTGCCACCAGGGCTTTTACACCATGTGCACAATTATTAGGCAAGTGAGTATTTCGACCATATCATCATTTTTATGCATATTTTCCACCTCCAAGCTGAATAAACTTGAGTTCTTAGTGTCAGGATTCCGGCACTTAACCCCATTTAAATAATGAGTCTTGAGCCAAACTTCCAAAACTTTAAAAGGATTTATTGGGAGTTAAAATGTCCGGCACTGCTTGCGTGTATCGTTATTCATATTCTCCAGTGGGACATCTTTGAAAACATTTATGGAATGCAAGCTGCCCACTGCTCCCCCCTCCCTTTCTGTTGGCAACTCTAAAAGACCATAGAAATATTTTATGAGTTGACACTTAGCTGGCGTATCAGGTGATGTGTATTTGTGTAACAAGGGAGCGTGTGGCCTAAAGAGATCATTTTAGTGCAAATCTCCCTGAGTCCAGAGAACTTCAGGGAAAATTACAGGTAGTCCTCATCTTATGACCATCTTGGGACCAGAGCCTCTATTGCTAAGCAAGGTGGTTGTTAAATGAGTTGTGCACAATTTTACAAGTTTTTTGCCATTATTATTTAAGTGAATTGTTGCAGTTGTTAAGTGAATCACATCATTAGGACAATCAGCTTCCTCATTGACTTTTCCTGTTGGAAGCATTCACTGTTGTTACCATTCCTTTTCTATAGGTAAATAGTTATGGCTTTATTCCAGTTATCAGAGACAGATGCATTCATGTTAAGCAAATTATATGGACACCCCATAAGCAAAACATAACTAATTTAATTATTTCTTCCACTATATCTTCTAAAACTGAGGCCTTATTGTTTTTCAAAAATCTCATATTTATGATTTGATTTTCATGAGCTGTTTCCCTGGATACTAACTTTTATATATTCCCTTTCATTCCATTCTTCAATATATTGCCATTAATCTAAGTATTTTTTTTCTCTTTTATTTTTAATCCCATTGATTCTATTTTAGGCTGTCTTTTCACCTACTTCCAAAATATATTTTTTTAAAAATCCATTAAAAACAACTCTGCATTTTCTTTGCCTTTTTTAATCTTAAAATGCCTTGCTTTCTTTGACTATATTCACAACTTTTCTCTCTGTATACATTAGATAGTATTTGTTTGTCCTTTTTTCTGTAGCAATCATTGTCTTTACATGCAGGTTTTTTTTCCTCATTCAATCTTTCATTTAATTTCCCAATCATGTTTTATTGTGGTACTTCATAATATATAATTCTATTCACTTTTTTCTGAGCAGCTTTCACATTACCATTTCTTATATCCGTTCATTAATTCAAAAAAGATGTATAATGCACAACAAAGCCTTAATAACTAGAAAAGTTCAGTTTTGCTTATTTTAATTTGTTCAGAGTGTATGTTGAAGAGAAGCAGCTGGTATGATTTTGTTAAAACACTATTGTAGGACTTCATGCCAGCACATAAAAAGTTTAATATTTTAAAATGTTTTTAAAAATCCTCTTGGCTACTTTTGTATAAGGCTGATGTTAGAAAGCACCATGTGTTGGTTACAAGACCTATGTTTTTCCCAGTCCAGAGAAAAATGAGGGAGCAAAAAACGTTTTTGCATTCCCATTATTTTTCTATGGCAAGTCTTGGCTCTGTCATTCTGATGAAATGTTCTGATTAGGTCATTTTGATCCATGTTTCTTATGTTTTTTCTCCCTCATTCCACATACATTAAGAGCTGTTACCTATGATTTGTTCAGCTGGAAGTGAAACTTATTTCATTTTTAAGGTGGGAAACATACCTGAAATGTACTATTGAAAAATTGAAGCAAAATGGAAGTTTGAAGACACACCTCAGCATTAGCCACCAAACTGATCTTTGAGAAAAGCCTGTGAACTCATGTTATTTCACAAAAAACACATACTGTTTGAACTAGATAGTCCTCAACTTACATTAAACCATTTAATGACCAGTTATGATAGTGCTGAAAAGTGATTTTAAAAGTGTCCAGTCCTCACATTTATGACCATTGCAGTGGGGTCCCCCTCTGCCTGTGGTCAAACAATCTAAATTTGGGTGCTTGTGAGCCTTGGTGCGCAGTGGTTAGAATGCAGTACTGCAGGCTACTTCTGCTGATTGCTGGCTGCCAGCAGTTTGGTAGTTCGAGTCTCACTGGCTCAAGGTTGTTTCAGCCTTCCATCCTTCCGAGGTCAATAAAATGAGGACCCATATTGTTGGGGGCAATATACTGAGAGAGCTGTAAAGCACTGTGAAGCAGTATAAGAGTGTAAGTGCTATCGCTATTGTACAGTTGCAGTGTCCCAGGGTTATGTTATCACCATTTGTGACCTTCCCAGGGACTTCTGACAAGTAACATCAATGGGGAAAGCCAGATTTATTTAATTGCTGTGATTCACTGAACTTATTCTTCTTCATCCTAGTATTTTCCTTTAGACATGTGGTCCTTTTAGATCAAGAAATACCATTTTATGAGATCAAATGCAGCAACTGGGTCCAACTGGATAATTTTAATATCCATGTTGAGTCCTGTCACCTCTGCTTTCGTCTTCTGCAGGGGAACTGCCATCAGTGCTAAAGTGGTAGGTGGTATAGGCAACAATGTGAAGATATGACTAGACATTTTTCTGCATTTTCTGTTATTGGTGCAATATCCATGATTTGCTTAATGACCGTGGCCCAAATATCTATTTGTCTTGTTTTGTAGAGCCTTTTTTTTACCATTAGTCTACATTGTACAGTAACAAACGAAAGTTAAAATGATAGCTTTAAAGTGTGAACCTGCTTTGTTGGACTTATCAATTCCACGTGTTACTGATTTACTGACTTGAAAGCACTCCTTTTTACATCAGAATGAATAGGCACATGCACTCTGCTTGTGGATCACAGTAAGTCTGGAATTCTGGTTTATCACAACGTGACAGTTTCCTTCTTTCAGCTAGCTTTATGGCTTTCAGCTCTCCAGATTATTTTGCAGTCTAGAACTGAAACTGATAATCAGATAGCAGAAATGTTGAGATATACTAGAGTTAGTATCAGGATTTTATTTGTAATACAAATCTTTGTTATATTAACTCTCTCTCTCTCTCTCTCTCTCTCTGTGTGTGTGTATACAAATAATTGGGTTTTATATGAGGGAAAGTATGCACTTGAACAGTTGATAAACCAAACATCACATTTACTTTGTCATGTATAATCTTTAGAATCCACATTTAAACAAATAAAATCAGTACAAAACAGGAAAGTCTTCAAGACCTTTTAACTGACCCCTTCCTTACAAGGTTTGTTCATGGAAATTGTTTCTAAGTCATGTACTGCTCTTTTGTGTCATAAAACTCCAAAGTAATGATCCAAAACCCCCAAGTTGTGGAGAAGAATGGGGAGAGCTCCCATTTTATCAAAAGGAAAAGACGGAAGACCCAAAAATGTATTAAATATTATGGCACTAAAGAGTCATAATGCAGAAGTCTAGCAGGCTGGGAAGAATGTTTGCTACATGTCTTACTGGCCAGAAACTTAAAAAAAATAACCCTCAGTTTCCTGCATTGGAAGCAGCGAGGATAGGGGAAGCTGCCCAGATAAAAGTTATCACTTACCTGTCAAGGTAAGAGAGTCAAAGAAACAGTACAATTTATGGGATAGGGAGGACATTCTACTACAGATATTTATATCATGACAGCAATAATGATAAAACATATGCACACCTCCAGTAACGGCTATAA